CTCTACCTCTGTGTGCCATTCAAGTAAAATGAAAACAAATACATGATGGCTTTAAGAGAATGTCTAAATGCCAGTGTCATGGCACAGTGGGTTAAGCTATGGTCTACGAAGCAGCAGGCTATATGGTCACCCAGTTCCAGTCTCAACTGCTCCAATTTTGATCTAGCTATCTGCTCACGTGCCTAGGAAACCAGTGGAGGATGGCCAAAGTAAACTTGGGTCTCTGCCACCCATGCGGGAGACCTGGATGGAGCTCCTGGCTCCTAGCTTTGGCTTGGTCCAGCCCTGGTCATTGTGGCCATTTGGAGAGTGAACAAGCAGATAAGATGGCAGATCTCTCTCCTCTCTCTGTAACTATGCCGTTCAAACAAAGTATGTTTAAAAAGAGAATGTCTCCACTATAATTAACCTCCCCTTAATAACATACATAGGGTCTTTCTCATGAATATTAAAGTCAGCTAGTCTGGTTTCTCACACCACATGCAAACCTCAGTGAAAATATTCTCTTTGGGTTGATTGAAGTTGCTTTGCATCCATAAAGATCAGTTTGGGGAGAACTGACATTTCTGGTCTGAATACTGCCAATCTCTAAATATAAAGTGGTATAGTTCCTCATTTATTTAGGACTTCTTCAGTGCTTTGTAAGGTTGCAGTTTTATCTACACAGTTCTTGAACACATTTTATGCACACATTCCAAAGAATTTTATAGTCACATTTCTATTTCAAACAGTAACCTTTTATTACCATCTTCAGAGCTTATTCACAGTTTAAAATACAAGTGGTCTCTGTAAATTTTGTATGTTGAATTTATATTCTAATCTACTATAATTATCATTATAGTTAAATTTATTTCTCACAACTTAATTTGCATTTTCTGCAGGCCCTGCAATTTCTGTGTTTAAACATTTGCCTTGTCTATTTTGCATTAACTTTCTTTAAAAAAAATCACCTTCCCTCTGCTAACCTCATAATGTACTTTATATTTAATAATTACTATATAAATGTTAATAGAGATGCTTATAATTATCTAAAATTAATAACTTTATCTTCCTATTGAAAATTATGGAGATTTTAGGACATTTTTATTCCAGAACTCTTTGCCTATTTACATGCTATTGTTGTCATTTACGTTAGCACCAACTTAGTTTTCAGCACTTAAGGCATTTCACATTTATTTTATATAAGTAACAATGATTTTGTATATTTATCTACATATTTTCCACTGTCCTTACTGTTCCCTTTGTATTGCATTTCAGATTCATCCAGGAATCCTTTCCTGCTGCAAGAAGTATATGCTTAAAACGGCTATTATCAGAACGACAAAAGATAAAAAACACTGGCTAGGATGTAAAGAACAGGGTACCACTGTGCACTGTTAGTGGTGATGTCAACTAGTAGAGCCATTGTAGAAAACAGTACATAAGGGTGCTGACACTATGGCATCGAAGATTAAGTCACTCCCTGAGAGGGCTGTAGCCTGTGCTCCACTTGCGATCCAGCTCTCTGCTAATTCACCTGGGAAACCAGTGGAGGCTGGACAAAGTGCTTGGGCCTCAGCACCCATGTTGGGGACCATGATGGAGTTCCAGGCTTTTGGCTTCAACCTAGTCAAGCTGTGATCATACCGGCCATTTTGTAAGTGAACTAGTAGGTATAAGATTTTTTAATCTTTCACTGTTTGTCTCTATCCATCTCTCTTTGTAACCCTGCCTTTCAAATACATACATGCATACATACATAAGTCTTAAAAGAGAAAAAACAGTATGGAAGTTCCTAAAAAAAAAAAAAAAACTAAAAAATGAACTACTACATGATCTAGGAATTCCTCTACTGGATATATATTGAAGAGAAATAAAATCACTCTGTCAAAGATACAGCTGCCTTTCCCATGTTTAATGCAGCACTCTTCACAACAGAGCAAAATGGAAACAATTCAAATGTCCATCCACTGATGAAAGGTTAAAAAAAAAAAGCAGTATACTTGGGCCTTGCACCCGCATGGGAGACCAGGAGAAGCACCTGGCTCCTGGCTTCGGATCAGCACAGCGCGCTGGCCACAGCAGCCACTGGGGTTGAACCAACAGAAAAGGAAGACCTTTCTCTCTGTCTCTCTCTCTCACTGTCCACTCTGTCTGTCCAAAAAAAAAAAAAAAAAAAGAAAAAGAAAACAGTATATACACACAATGCAGTATATATACATAACTATTACTCAAACATAAAAAAGACTGAAATCTTGTCATGACAGCAACATGGGGTAGAATTGCAGGTCATTATGTTATGTGAAACAAGCTAAGCATAGAAAGACAATTATCACAATAAATAAATCTTAAAAAAAAGAAAGACAATTACCACATGACCTCACTTATATGTGGTGTCTGAAAAAAAATGCAATCTCCTGTTTGGATATTATACAGTGCATTCATCTACTGAAACATCCCATAGTACTCCATAAGTATATACAATTTTTATGTGTCAAGGTTTTTTTTTTAACAAATTCATTAAGAGACTTCTAATAAAATTCTTTAGTAGGGAAACAAATGTTTTGTTTATCTGCACCCATATTTTATTCTGCTCTAAAGATGCTGCTTGGGATGCCCATATCCTATACTAGAGTATGCAGGTTCATGCCCCAGCTCCACTCCCAATTCCCGCTTCCTGCTAACACAGACCCTATGAAACACAGATGGCTGGATCCCTCCCGCCACATGAGAAACAAGGATTGAGTTCCTACCTCTTGGCTTCTATGTGGTCCACCATGAATATTGCTGGCAGTTAGGCAGTGAACCAGCAGATGCGAGCTGTCTATTAAGTTCTTTTTTTTTGACAGGCAGAGTTAGACAGTGAGAGAGAGAGAGAGAGAGAGAGAGAGAGAGAGAGAGAGAGAAAGGCCTTCCTATGATTGGTTCACCCCCAAATGGCCGCTACAGCCAGCGTGCCATGCCGATCCGAAGCCAAGAGCCAGGTGCTTCCTCCTGGTCTCCCATGCAGGTGCAGGGCCCAAGCACTTGGGCATTCCTCCACTGCACTCCCGGGCCATAGCAGAGAGCTGGACTGGAAGAGGAGCAACCGGGACAGAATCCGGCGCCCCAACCAGGACTAGAATCCGGAGTGCGGGCGCTGCAGGGGGAGGATTAGCCTAGTGAGCAGCGGCGCTGGCCTACTACTAAGTTCTAACAGATGGCTCACCCTTCACAAATAAAATGTAACTAAAAGAGAAATATATACTCACACATTTCAAAAGAAGGAAGAATTTTTCTTGTTTTCTTTAACAAGAGGAGAGACTGAAATAATCTCTCCTTGATCAAGTCCTAGCCAGGCTCCTTTCAGCTCCTTTTTAGCCAACTCTGTGTTCACACCCTCAGGAGCTCAGTTTTCCAAGAGTCCTGGTAAGTCTGTCTAGCCAGAATATCCCATCCTTGTTATCACAGCATCTCTCAGGTATGGTCACCCTGATGTTTCCTCATTCACCTACTGCCTTCTCCCCACCCTCAATCGCAGTCTACTCCTTGTGGGATGCAGAACTCAATCTTTCTCCTTTACTGAATTTCAGTAGTTCCTTTAATCATGATGGCCCTGAGTAAAGTCGCCTTACCATTTTAAAAAGTGTCAGAATAAATTTTTTTCTGTAATAATTCTTATGAAATTTAAATTTTGTTAGTAATTATGTGAGGGCCAGCTGTGGTTTTGAATTCTGAGAAGATATTTTTTTCCCTCCTATTCTCCTAAGATCAATGACAGGAAACTTTTCTTAAGGGCAAAAAATGACATTTACATTGGAGCTGTAGCCTTAGGAGTCTCATTTTAATGGTGGTAACCTGCTGTGAGACACCTCAAGTTAACTCGGCTCTGGGCTAACCTCTGAATTCTAAAATGTTTTAAGATTAAATTTCCAGTTGACCTGTGCTGTTGAACATCCTTTTATAAAAAAAAAAGCTTTGGGGCTGGCTCCGTGGTACAGGTTAATCCTCCACCTGTGGTGCCAGCATCCCATATGGGCGCTGGTTCTCGACCCGGCTGCTCCCCTTCCAGTCTAGCTCTCTGCAGTGGCCTGGGAAAGCAGTAGAAGATTGCCCGAGTGCTAGGGCCCCCGCACCCACATGGGAGACCGGGAAGAGGCACCTGGTTTCTGGCTTCAGATTGCTGCAGCTCTGGCCATTGTGGCCATCTTGGGAGTGAACCAACAGAAGGAAGATCTTTCTCTCTAACTCTACCTCTCAAGTAAAGAAATAAAAATCTTTAAAAAAAAGTAAGCTTTGTAACTTTACCTCTCAAATAAATAAGTAAAATCTTTAAATATAAGCTTTTATGTTCCATTCGTTTTTAAAAACATATTGTTGCTTACATTTTAATAATTATTGGATGAATTTAAGATTTAACATTTTTACTTGCATGCAGAGGTGACTGATGACCAGAGAACATACTACCACGTGGTTAGACAAAGCACTGTTCTAAGATGTTAACCTGATGAATGAAAACTGTCATTCCTTGAGTGTTCAAGACAAAGGACATCTCTGCAGAACTGATCTGAAATGCCAGATGTGACTGTATAAGGAATAGCTCATGTAAAACTGATACCTTTGGACTGACTACTCACAACACATAGACCTGATACTATCTTTTTTTTTTTTATCTTCCCTCCCACCCACAACGCTCCCCTCTCCCACTCCCTCTCCCCTTCCCCTTCACATCACGATTAATTTTCAATTATCTTTATATACAGAAGATCAATTTAGCATATGTGAAGTAAAGATTTCCACATTTTGCTCCCACACAGAAACACAAAGTGTAAAATACTATTTGAGTACTAGTTATAGCATTAATTAAACACCTAAGAGTAATTGTGTATTAATTACAGAGTTCAACCAATAGTTTTAAGTAGAATATAAAATGCATTTTTGTATTGTTGTGACTTCCCCCCCGACCTCCCTCCCTCCCATGGCCCTCCCCTCACCCACTCCCTCTCCCATCCTGCACTTCATCACGTTTTGTTTTCAATTACCTTCATATATTGAAGATCAACTTAGTATATACTAAGCAGGGATTTCAACAGGTTGCACTCACACAACTGAACCAGGTATAGGGTATTGTTCGACTAGTAGTGTTGTTTTTGAGTTTCATAGTTAAACATATTAAGGACAGAGATCCTGTGTGGGGAGCATGAACCCAGTGACTCCCGTTGTTGATTTAACAATTGGCACTCTTATTTATGATGTCAGCAATCACCTGAGACTCTTGCTATGAGCTGTCTAGGCTATGGAAGCCCCTTGAGTTCAGCAACTCTGAATTTGTTTAGTCAAGGCCATATCCCAGTGGAGGTTCCTTCCTCCCTTCAGAGAAAGGCACCTCTCTCCTTGATGGCCTGATCCTTCTGCTGGGGTGTTGTTCACCAGGATCCTTCATTTAGATTGTTTTTTTGCCACCGTGTCATGGCTTTCCATGCCTGCGAGACTCTCATGGACCTTTTAGTCAGATCCAAATGTCCCAAGGGTTGATTCTGAGGCAGGAGTGCTGTTTTGGGCATTTGCCATTCTGTGAGTCTGCTGTGTGTTCTGCTTCCCCCGCAGGATCATTCTCTCCCTTTTGATTCTATCTTTCATTATTTGCTTACACTGGTCTTATTTGTGTAATCTCTTTGCCACTTACCCTATCTTTTTGATCAGTTGTGTATTTATATTTGTCACTTTACCAAGTGTACTGGCATTAATACCTGCCTCCTTGGTAAAGTTGAGTTGAAATCCCCTGGCACATTTCCAGTTCCACCATTGGAGGTAGGTCTGAGTGAGTATGTGCCATCCTATATATCTCCTCCCTCTCTTATTCCCACTCCCATGTTCCACAGAGATCAATTTTCTGTTAATTTTTAAACGCTTAAGAATGGTTGTGCATTGATTGCAGAGTTCAACCAGTGGTCTTGTGTAGAGCAAATCGAGCAACAACAACAACAACAAAAATACTAAAAGAACAAAATAGTAAGTTGTTCCTCAATAGTCTAGCCAAGGGCTGCTCATGTCATTGTCTCTCACAGTGTCCATTTCACTTCAATGGGTATCATTTTAGGTGCTCGTTTAGTTGCCATCGATCAGGGAGAACATGTGATATTTATCCCTTTTGGACTGGCTTATTTCACTCAGCATGATGTTTTCCAGCTTCCTCCATTTTGTTGTAAATGCCCGGATTTCATTGTTTTTTACTGCTGTATAGTGTTCCATAGAGTACATATCCCATAGTTTCTTTATCCAGTCATCCGTTGATGGACATTTAGGTTGATTCCATGTCTTAGCTATTGTGAATTGAGCTGCAACAAATATTGAGGTGCAAATGGCTTTTTTCACCCCTTTAATTCCATTTGGGTATATTCCAAGGAGTGGGATGGCTGGGTCCTGTGGTAGTGCTATATTCAGGTTTCTGAGGACTCTCCAGACTGTCTTCATAGTGGCTTGACCAGTTTGCATTCCCACCAACAGTGGATTAGTGTCCCCTTTTCTCCACATCCTCTCCAGCATCTGTTGTTGGTTGATTTCTGTATGTAAGCCAATCTAACCGGAGTGAGGTGGTATCTCATTGTGGTTTTGATCTGCATTTCCCTGATGGCTAGGGATCCTGAGCATTTTTTCATGTGTCTGTTGGCCATTTGGATTTCCTCTTTTGAAAAATGTCTGTTAAGGTCCTTGGCCCATTTTTTTATTGGGTTGTTTGTTTTGATTCTGTGGTGTTTTTTGATCATTGTGTAGATTCTAGTTGTTAGTCCTTTATCTGTTGTGTGGTTTGCGAATAACGTCTCCCATTCTGTTGGTTGCCTCTTCGCTTTCCTGACTGTTTCCTTTGCTGTTAAGAAACTCTTCAATTTGAGGTAATCCCATTTGTTTATTTTATCTTTGATTACCTGTGCTTGTGGGGTCTTCTCCAGGAATTCTTCACCTATTCCGATATCTTGAAGGGTTTCCCCTATGCTCTCAATTAGTTTCATGGTGTCGTGGCGCATCTCTAGTTCTTTGATCCATGTTGAGTGGATTTTTGTATAAGGTGTAAGGTAGGGGTCTTGCTTCATACTGCGACATGTGGACATCCAGTTTTCCCAGCCCCATTTGTTGAAGAGGCTGTCCTTGTTCCAGGGGTTGGTTTTAGGTCCTTTGTTGAATATGAGTTGGTTATAGATGTTTGGATTGATCTCCGGTGTTTCTATTCTGTTCCATTGGTCTATACATCTGTTTTTGTACCAGTACCAGACTGTTTTGATTATAACTGCCCTGTAGTATGCCTTGAAGTCTGGAATTGTGATGCCTCCAGCCTTGTTTTTATTGTTAAGGATTGCTTTGGCTATTCTGGGTCTCCTGTTTCTCCATATGAATTTCAGCATCATTTTTTCTAGGTCTTTGAAGAATGACTTTGGTATTTTGATTGGTATTGCATTGAACTTGTAAATTGCTTTTGGGAGAATGGACATTTTGATGATATTGATTCTTCCAATCCATGAGCATGGCAGGTTTTTCCATTTTTTTTGTGTCGTCTTCTATTTCTTTCTTTAGTGTTTTATAATTTTCATCATAGAGGTCTTTGACCTCCTTGGTTAAATTTATTCCAAGGTACTTTATTGTTTTTGTGGCTATCATGAATGGGATTGATCTTAGTAGTTCTTCCTCGGCCCTGGCATTGTCTGTGTATACAAAGGCTGTTGATTTCTGAGCATTGACTTTGTATCCTGCTACTTTACCAAACTCTTCTATGAGTTCCAGTAGTCTCTTATAGGAGTTTATTGGGTCCCCTATATATAGTATCATGTCATCTGCAAACAGGGATAGTTTAACTTCCTCCTTTCCCATTTGTATCCCTTTAATTTCTTTTTCTTGCCTGATGGCTCTGGCTAACACTTCTAGGACTATATTGAATAGCAATGGTGAGAGTGGGCATCCCTGTCTGGTGCCAGTTTTCAATGGAAATGCCTCCAACTTTTCCCCATTCAATATGATGCTGGCCTTTGGTTTATCATAAACTGCCTTAATTGTGTTGAGGAATGTTCCTTCTAACCCCAGTTGGCTTAGGGTTTTCATCATGAAAGGGTGTTGTATTTTGTCAAATGCTTTCTCTGCATCTATTGAGATAACCATATGATTTTTGTTTCTCAATTTATTAATGTGATGTATTACATTGATTGATTTTCGAATATTGAACCATCCCTGCATACCAGGGATAAATCCCACTTGGTCCGGGTGAATGATCTTTCTGATGTGTAGTTGGATTCGGTTTGCCAGAATTTTATTGAGTATTTTTGCATCTATGTTCATCAGGGAGATAGATCTGTAGTTTTCTTTCTCTGTTGTGTCTTTTCCAGGCTTAGGAATTAAGGTGATATTGGCTTTGTAGAAGGAATTTGGGAGGATTCCCTCTCTTTCAATCTTTTGGAATAATTTGAGAAGAACTGGGGTTAGTTGTTCTCTAAATGTCTGGTAAAATTCGGCAGTGAAGCCATCCGGTCCTGGGCTCTTCTTTTTCAGTAGTGCGTTTATTACTGATTCAATTTCTTCCATGGTTATGGGTCTGTTTAGATTTTCTATATCTTCACGGCTCAGTTTATTTTTTATTTTATTTTTTTTAATTTTTGACAGGCAGAGTGGACAGTGAGAGAGAGACAGAGAGAAAGGTCTTCCTTTTGCCGTTGGTTCACCCTCCAATGGCCGCCGCGGCCAGCGTGCTGCAGCCGGCGCACCGCACTGATCCGATGGCAGGAGCCAGGTACTTATCCTGGTCTCCCATGGGGTGCAGGGCCCAAGCACCTGGGCCATCCTCCACTGCACTCCCGGGCCACAGCAGAGAGCTGGCCTGGAAGAGGGGCAACCGGGACAGAATCCGGCTCCCCGACCGGGACTAGAACCCAGTGTGCTGGCGCCGCAAGGCGGAGGATTAGCCTAGTGAGCCACGGCGCCGGCCAACATGGCTCAGTTTAGGAATGTTGGTTTTGTCCAGGAATCTATCCATTTCTTCCAGGTTCCCCAATTTGTTAGCATACATCTCTTTGTAGTAGTTTCTGATGATTCTTTTTATTTCTATTGTGTCAGTTGTTACATTTCCATTACTATCTTTGATTTTACAGATTTAGGTGGTCTTTCTCCTTTTTTTGGTTAGTTGGGCCAATGGTGTGTCAATTTTGTTTATTTTTTCAAAGAACCAGCTCCTGGTTTTGTTGATCTTTTGTATTGTTTTTTTGCTTTCAATTCTGTTTATTTCTTCTCTGATCTTTAGTATTTTTTCCTCCTTTTGGATTTGGGCTTGATTTGCTGCTGTTTTTCTAGATCCTTGAGGTGCATGGAGAGTTCATTTGTTTGGTTCCTTTCCAGCTTCTTGATGTAGGCACTAATTGCTATAAACTTTCCTCTTAGCACTGCTTTTGCTGTGTCCCACAGGTTTTGATAGGTTGTGTTATCATTTTCATTTGTTTCTATAAATCTTTGGATTTCTCTTTTAATTTCTTCGATGACCCACTGTTCATTTAGGATCATGTTGTCCATTCTCCATATATTTGCATATGGTGTAGAGATTCTTGGGTTGTTAATTTCAAGTTTCACTGCTCTATTGTCTGAGAAGCTGCATGGTATAGTTTCAATTTTTTTGAATTTGTTGAGGCTCCCTTTGTGGCCTAGTATATGGTCAATCCTAGAGAATGTTCCATGTACTGGGGAGAAATATGTGAACTCTGTGTCTGTGGGGTGGAAGGTTCTGAAGATATCTATTAGGTCTATTTGGTCTATGCCGTCAATTAGCTCAGTTGTTTCCTTGTTGAATTTCTGTCTGGTTGATCTGTCCATTGGTGAGAGTGGGGTGTTGAAGTCCCCTGTAACTATTGTATTTGAGTCTATATCTCCCTTTAAATCCTTTAGTAATTCTTTCAGGTAGCCAGGCGCCCTGTAATTAGGTGCGTATACATTTATAATAGTAATATCTTCCTGTTGGATAGATCCTTTAATCATTATATAGTGCCCTTCTCTGTCTCTTTTAATAGTTTTTAATTAAAGTCTATTTTGTCTGATATTAGAATGGCCACACCAGCTCTTTTTTGATTTCCATTAGCTTGGAGTATCTTTTTCCATCCTTTCACTTTCAGTCTGCGTGCATCTTTGCTGATAAGGTGTGTCTCCTGAAGGCAGCATATAGATGGATTCTCTTTCTTGATCCAATCAGCTAGTCTATGTCTTTTGGTAGTAGAATTAAGACCATTCACATTCAGTGTGATTACTGTTAAGTACTGTCTTTTCCCCTTCATGTTTCCTGAAACGAGCTGTTTATGTATTTTGAACTTTGTTTGTGGGTTACTCTACATTCGCTTTTTTTTTTTGCAGTGAAGTTCTTGTTTTTGTATTTCTGTGTGCAGCATGTCTTTGAGCAAGTGTTGTAGGGTAGGACGCGTGGATACAAATTCCTTCAGTTTCTGTTTGTCGTGGAAGATCTTTATTTCTCCTT